GGACAGTCGGACAACTCTTTCGTTCTAGTATGGGACTACTAAACACTGCGTACTCACGACCCCATCAGGACTCGAACTCCAGGCTTTCAGGCCTCACAGCATATCGTGGGTAAAATAACTGTCAACAGTGCGATTTTATGACCATCGTAAATTTATTGAAGTCAAAACTATACTATTGAATGCAAACTCAGTGATTAAAGTTATCAAACGTTTTCTATGAGATTCAGAAGTTCCGAGTTCGATAGTTGGCAGGGTTGTGGGTGTACACTGTTAAGAAATCTTTCCAAGGTCCTTCAATTTTCACCGATATCCAACCGAGATAAATTTTTTTAATGAATACAACTTAGATATAGTATTAACGCTCGACAATTTATTGCAAAAGTCGACTCATCTGCTTAGGTATTTTCAGTACAAAAAGAAAAAGATCATGTATCACTTAAAAATTAATGTATCATCAGTAGAAGGTTGTGGAGATTGTTAAGTTATTGATTGAGATCTTGAACCGATTGATGTTAGACCATCATCGAAAATCTGGAGGCACTGGACGGTAATTTCGTCCTATTGTGGGACTCCTCATCAGTGCGCATCCACGATCCCGCTCGCGGAATTCCGTGTTGGGTAGAGACAGGTATCTACCTCAGTACAATAGATGTTGGTCGCTCCATTTCGTAGATTGGTTGAGGTTAGACATTAACATCGTTGGATTCCGGCTCAGTGGTCTAATAGGTGAAGCTTTCATGTGCAAGACTGAAGTCCCTGGGTTCAAATCCTGCGAGCGGGACCGTCAATGCGCGCCAACGAGGAGTCTCACAATAGAACAAAAAGTCTGTCCAGTGCCTCCAGGTTTTCGATGATGGTCTAACATCAATCGGTTCAAGACCTCAATCAATAAATTAATGTATTCATATAAAATAAACAATCTATTGTTTCGGAATTTTAAAAAATTCATATTAGACAACATAGATGAAATATATGAATATTGTCTTTTATTTTAAGCATCTCAATTATCCAAATAAAATAAGACGCCAATATACAATAAAATCAAATGATTAACATATTACATGAGTAACATTTGGGCGTAACACTGATTCCAAAAAAAAATATACTACTAATACATTTCGTGATACAAGTTGTAAAATGTATTAGAGAAGGCGAGCAAACGAGATAAAGAGCTATTTATATAAACTAATCGGAGACAATATTCATATGAGAAATATTTACTAAGCTTTAGTTATGTATTTGCTTTCCATTCATAAATGTTTCTATATAAAAAATAACCTAATCTCTTATTCATATATTCGTTTAATTTACCCTTGCAATCTAGAAATGTTTTTTGATGTTAAGCCAACTCAATTAGAAACCAATTTAGTTTCTATGCCTACTAATACATTTCGATAAAACCGACACATATACACACACATACATACATATTGAGGAACAAGTACTTATTAAGTGCACCGTCATCACGTATAAATTTAAATTTTGAAGCCTGTCTCTCGACTAATTATCAATCAATCGATGAAAATCTTTCACTCATAGATAACAAATTGTTTTATTTAGATAACTAAGTATGAATTGTGTTTGCCATAATAAAAGCATCAATAAAATTTGAAGTAATGAGTTGGGCAGGATTAAAAGTCTTGGATTCTTCTTCCTAGTTAAACTAATTTATTTATTTATTTATTTATTTATAAATCATAAATAATTTTTCTTTGTATTTTTTTAGCGAAAAGAAAAGTAGCGTTTAATTTAATATTCATCATTGATAATTGAATATATGAATAATTGAACAAAGAACACACATATATGGATAGTTAGATTAGAATGACTTATATTCACACATAGATACATTTACCGGTGTCGTTTAATTTTTGTTATTTTTTTCTTTGTAGTATTGATTTGTTTGATGATTACTTCTTTTTGATTATCTTAGTAGTATGCTTTTCTTTGATTGATTTTAAATGCTCTAATAGGTTTGTCTTTATTGGTTTATGTACATTCTGAGTGGTTAGGCTCGATATGATCATTTGATGATTAACATCATGAACTATTGAGAATCAGAAAATACTACTAAATTACATCGTTCTATAATAAGACTCCTTAGCAAAGTATGTCCAAGATTAGATGTTGGTTGGAGGTAGTCGACAGGAAACCCTGGACCCGGGTTTCGTGCTACTTGGCACTCGTCAGCAAGGTGTACCTGTAATCTTCAGGGAACTGGTGCTACAGTAGGTCGGTCGCGGCCCGGATAGCTCAGTGGTAACGTCTCTGACTGTGAAGCTGGGTGACACGGAATCGAATCAGCCAGGGAGCACCAGTTCCCTCAAGATTACAGGTACACCTTGCTGACGAGTGCCAAGTAGCACGAAACCCGGGTCCACGGTTTCCTGTCGACTACCTACAACCACCATCTAATCTCAATATATAGTGCACTCAGTGTCAAGTCACTTAGACTGGTGGCCACATTGCAACGTGATCGATAGCATTCGATCTGCACTAAATAAGGACTTGACACACATGACGTTGATCACCACCCAGTGATCAATGAGTTGTGAAAGTATGTACAAGACCACGCCACCCGTGACTGGACTCAGATAGGACTCTCGATTTCCGGCAAAAACACAACCTCTAAACCATTAACATTTTCAAATATTAAGGAGAATGAGACATTTATTAGCTATTCTTAATGGTCTCGTTCTCATTGGTACAATATTGATGTTGGTTTGAAATAAAGTTAACTTTCATATAAAAATGGAAAACCTATATGACAACATTTGTAGAAATCTTGTACATAAAACTTAAAATCAGGTGTCATAAGTCAACATGGATCTGATAGTGTCAATACTGTTTCTCCTATGGTCACAATTTGATAAACGACACTCAATAAAAGTCAAAAAGTATCCGATAAAGAAAGTTATTTTCGAACCTAGTGAGTCTGTTGATGACTGTAAAACAGTCACCATAGCTACACAAATTGTTATACACAACTGTATTATTTAGATTTTTTAGTATATTGTTGACTACTTCATGCTGACTATCAATTGATAATATAAAGTCATTTGAACATGCTAAGTACTGGGTTATATCTGTGCAATGTCCAGCATTTTCAACTAAATAATCAAGATCATCTTTCGTCACCAGTATTAACGGTAATTTACTGAGAAGTAAAAATGAAATAAAGATACAAATATAAAGATTGTTTGCTTCCACTGAAAATACCATTCGACTTAATAAATATTCATTAGTGTTAGACTAAATTATTTATATTTAAAATACCCTAATTAATAATTAGTTAGTCGGTTTCAGAGTAGACAATTTATCGTTCGTTTAGATCCAGTTGTAATAAGGTTTAACATTGATAAATAATGCTATGCTATATGACTGATTCATGTTTCTTTCCTTAATTTTTTCCACCAAAAACAGGATACCTGAAAAGAATATTTATCGAATCAATCCCAATTAAGTATCCATTTACAGTTAAGTCATATAACGTTGGTTGTCAAGTATTCATGTAATAGTAAGATGATTATCACGCAACTTAGGACTTCCTTTTATGATTATCAGTAGCGAAATAAATTCCGATGTTGTCGATAAAATAATGTCAGGTCATTACAAGAAAATACTCAATATTAGGTGGTTGGAGATGGTCTCTAAAAAACCTTGTTTTGCTTAAGTTTTATACTGGTTGGTACTCGTTATCAAATTTTATCCAGAACCTTTAAAAAAAGCAATGCTACCTATGACATTCCAGTTCTTGTCATCCAACATCATAGTCCGAGGCGTTACCACTGAGGTATTTGAGCACATATCGATCTCCTATACGACTAAGATATTTGTAGTTGGTTGATCACTAAGCATTAGTGGGCAGTGTTATGTTCGCCTAGTCCTCAGTTCTGATCGAATTTTATCGATGAAATTGTAATGTGACGACCACTGATTTAAGTGACCAAACAGGGCGCACACTATGTTGAGATGTGAAATGGTTGGTATTAGTCTGTGGGAATTCTTATTCGATCTTGATTTCATGTTTGTTGACAATCGTCAACAAGGCGCACACCACAACATGGTCCATGTGATATCAAGTCACTTGGACTAGAGATCAAATTGTCATTTGGTCGATAAAATTATAATAGCACTGACAATTGGGCAAGACTCACAATAACCACTGCTACTTCGTCATCAATCAGTTACGACAATTAGTGTCTAACTGTCTAAGTAAATTTATATTTGAAATCATTTTTATTTTAATCGACTGATAAAAACAAGTTGGGCACCTACTGTCCCCAAATGGTCTCATGCATCATATAAGAGTGAAATCTACCAACAGATTATTCAAATTGTTATAAACTATTCCTTGTTAACCATTTGCTTTGATATTACGACATAAAACGATAATAACCATCAGTCAGAACGACAGGCTTTTCCAATTAAAGTATCAAATATCAAAATTTTGCTTAGTCACAAGCAAATCAGAAAATATATCTTTCCCATTAGTACTTGAATATATTAAAATGAAGATGTTTAAATGAAACCCCATTCAATGAATTAAATATTTGAATAAAGTTTATATCATTGATCGATGTTAGCTAGATCAGAAAACAATGAAAATACAGTTGTGTACTTGTATGAATCCCTTTAGAAGGGAACACTTACAACCCTAATTTCGATTGAATCTAGAGTTTTCAAGTTTCTTGATAAGCCCTTAACTTTAGATCATCATCAAAAAGTTGGCATTTCTAACTTCAAAGATTTTGTGGTATTGCGCTACCACTGTCGGCTGCTATGGGTGATATTCGTTTTCAGTTGCATAAGCTCTGACCAAATGACTGGAAGTTCTTGTTGTTCAAGTATTTCATAATAAAACAACTGTAAAATGTTTCCTAATTTTTAATAATTGTCTATACAAAGTCAGTTTCGGATGTGACACTTCAATGTCAACAATTTCCACAATACCTCTATAAAAACATCTATAACAGTTTTTGATATAAACAGGAACTTACCTCTAATTTATAAGCTACAGTACCATTTAATCCATAATCGAAATCTTTTGCCAAGGGTAAAATAGCTATTTCACGCTTTTTACCACCACCACTACTACTACTACTACCGCTATTGTGAATTAAGGGACTTTCTGTAGTCAAATATGGCATCCAATATGGTGGCACTGATGATTGTGGTACTGATAATGATGACAACATAGATGATACATAAGATTGATCAATTGTTGATACATCTTCACTTATTTCAAGTTTTAATCCACTTGTATATTGATCAAAACGTGGTATATTATCGTTAATATCTTGAATATTTACAGGAATATTGATTAAAATTGGCTTAAATGTACGATTTTGACTGATTAATGCAAATTCTAAAATAATTGTACAGTCGATTTGTGATGGATCATCAGTAAGATCTAAACAAATATAAAGAAAAAAACAAACAAACGAATATTTAACCAGGATTCATTAATTTAAATAATAATTTGTAAAAATAATATATTTGTAATATCCCAATGAGTAGAAAATTGGATTTTCTGACGTTTCGTGACTTAGTGTAAGTCACTTCTTCAGAGAATAAATAACAATGGTGTTAATGTCTAACTTCAACCAATCCACGAAGTTGCGACACCGTACACCATTGTCTTCAGTGAGTTGATATCTCACAAATGATCTGGTTGAACTCGACTGATAACGGCTTCTCACTAGAACTCCTGGAGTATCTTTTGAAGTCAGTCACTAGTGAGCAGATGATTATTATCAGAATGAATTTTTGTGGAGATTTTTAGAAATTTCAATAGTTGAAATCATGAGTCAATTGAAGCTAGACCACCATTGGATGCCGGCTCAGTGGTCTAGTTGGTTAAGCGCTCACGCGCGAGACTGATAGGTCCTGGGTTCGAATCTCGCGGGGTGAGGGATCGTGGATACGCACTACTGAGGAGTCCCATACTAGGACGAAACGGCCGTCCAGTGCTTCCAGGTTTTCCATGGTGATCTAGCTTCAATTGACTCATGATTTCAATCTGTGAAATTTCTAAAATCTCCACAAACCCCTTCTGATTTTTATTTAAATTAATTTAGATAAACTAAGATTTATTAAAAGTAGCCTGTAATTTTCAATCGTAATTCTGAAGTTTATTTTCTCATATTCGAAACGATAAACACTTAGTGCTAAATTTAAGTAAAACTTGATAATTACAAAAACAAATATCTTTTACGATTCATTTGTTATCGTTGAACAAATGTCAAGTCTTGGTACTGGATGGTTGGAGTATATCAGTGGGAAATTCTGATCTATCTAAAATTCATGTTATATGACACTTTTCAGTAAAGCGTATCTACAGTCCTACTGAAAGCATCAGCTCCCTGTTAGATTCGAATTCACTCCGTTCAGTTTTACAGGCAGAATTTCTACGAATAAAGAAAATCTGGAACTCAGATCAGTTGTCAGATAACACCGAAACCAGCATTTATAATTTATGGAAGAGCCGATCAGAAGCGAGTAAGCGATTTCAAGGTAATGGCGCCTATTTCAATACCCAGTGCTCACGTACGATCGGTTTACAAAGAATTTAAGGATCACGTTATAGTTGAACAGCTAAAACAGATGTGATTACTGAAAATTTCCTTTATTTGTGACTGAGGTGTTCAAGTGACTTCTAGACAGTGTGCGGACTATCGTGACGATATTGTATTTCGATGTAATATATGTTGGGGGAAATGTTTGCTAGAACGTGGACTTTTTAACACTCGATCCCGATTGATACTAAGATAGGCTATGATAATTGTTGTAAACTGGATAATAAAAGCACCAGTAACACTGTCTGTAAACTTTGCAGATGTTCCTGAAGCTTTGGCAGTTCAGTGGTATGAGTACTGTTGAGATATATGTGCAATGAAAATAACAAGCATCAATCAGTCATTTGGAGGAATCTGGAGGATCACAGAAATCGACGGAACAGTTGCTAGAAAACGCGAATTCAAAAGAGGAAAAAGAGTTAAGAAATGACTGAGTAAGTAATACTTCCTTAAGTATACTCAGCAGGTCTTTGGGACATTTCAAGGGCGTGAGAAACCGATAGACTACAAAGATAATGCCAATTATATGAGAGTATGTGCAGCCGGATACCACAATGTACACAGATGACTGTAGAACATATCCATGGCTATCTAGGCTTGGTTGTGTGTACGCTATCGTCGCGCACAAGCAACATTTTGTTGACCCCACCATAGGAATAAACACCAATAGCATAGAAGCAATGTGGTCGAGGCTAAAATAATTTTTGCGACCTTATCATAGATCCAGAAGTCAACTATTATGGAGTGACATGGGTGAGTCCTGCACCGTACGCATTACGATTTCAGAATTGCAGAGCCTCTTTCTAACCTTGAAAAGTTTTTAAACCATGTTAAAAAAGTGTATCCACTCTGATTTTTCAGTTTTGTGTAATGTTTACTTATTCTATACCGATTGCTTTTTTGATTGGCTGAAACTTCTTAAAATCAGCTAAGATTCGTTCAAAGATTGTCCATAAATTACAGTCTTGACGGATTTTCAATACAAATGTCAAAACAGATTTATCGTACAGATTTGAAATTTAGAGAATTACAGCAATCATCATCAAAGGGGTACAGGTATTTATAAACAGTCGTCAACTCAAGGTACTCGTGATCCGTTGACCGGATACCAACAGCAACAACCTACCACGGCAGAGAACAAACCACCTTCCAATTGAAGAGGAAGTTAGAAGAAGATGATGGGGGTGAATAGGACATACATTGCGGAAATCATCAAAATTCATCACGAGATAAGCAGTAACTTAGAATATTGAAGGCAACAGGGAGAGTGGAAGACCAAAGAACACATTGCTCAGGCAATTGGAGGGAGAAATCAAAGGAATGGATAGTACTTAGCAACAACTGGGAAGGATCGCACAGGACAGAGTTGGTTTGAGAATCATGGTCAGCGGCTTATGTTCCTCCACGAGGAGTAACAGGCCTTGAAGTACCACTCTGACTTTAACCATCCTCTGATTGGCCGCTCTCACTTGTAAAAGTCACCATATAATTCATTTATTTTATTTATTTGAATTCTTCTACGTATATTGGACCTCTTCCTAAAGTTCAGTTTTCACTCTCGCTTATTCCTAGGGTGATTATTAATGTCGATGTACTTTTGTGTATTATTTGTCCAATATATCGAATTCGTGTTGATCCCGTCTCATAATAGTGAAATGTACTAATAAATCTTAAGTTGAAATAATCAAATATTATTGAAATGCTAATTTTTTTCTACTATTGGTGGAGCGACATCTACAGAAAGATGTGTGGCTGCTGCTTCGATGTCCAGTAGGTTCATTGAGGCTGATCTATTCAGTAGTTCTTCAAAGTGTTCTACCCATCTGTTCCCCTATTCCCGAATCATAGTGATTAGATTTCCTTCTTTGTTCTTCACCGGTCTCTCTGGTTTACAATATTTTGCTACTGGTCTCTTCATTGTGCTATATAGTCTTCTCATATTTCGTTCTCTTGCAACTTTTCCACTGTCACTGCTAGGTCCTCCACATAATTCTATTTGTCGGCTCTAATGCTCTTCTTCACTCGCTTGTTGTTTGCTGTGTATTCAGCTTCTGCCTTGAATTTCTCTGTTCTTGTTCGACTACTGTTAATTGCTTTCTCCTTCTTCTTCCTTTCTTGAGTCATGTCCAGGGTTTCGATAGAGACCCACTCTGTATGATGATGCTTTTTGTAGTTCAAACCCTCCTGACATGTTGAACTTAGTGTTTCTTCGATCCCTTTCCAATTGTCCATCATGGTGGTTTCTTTTTCTTTCAGTAGATGTTGTAAGGCTTAGAACCTGTTGTTTGGAGTTATCTTGGATTCGTTGAGTTTGTTAGTATATTGAAGGAAGTCTGTATTGAACCTGGTTCTCACGATCTTTATTGACCTACTGAATTTTTTATTGATATATATGATCTGTCTGGTTCTGTGTAGTGTGATCCTGTGAGACCAATTTAGCTCTGTGTATGGGATTGTGTGGTAATAGTGTGCGACATATAACTATTTTGTTGAATGCACATAAATTTTCTAATCTCTTACCATTGTCGTTCCTTTTTCCCAGTCGGTCTAATATCGTCCCATGATATCTTCATATCCGGTGCTGTCTATCCGACTTTGGCGTTTAGGTCTTCATCGAACAGCATCAGAGCAACTCCCTGTTTATGGCCAGAGTATAGCAGCATTTCTTCTGTATTTAATCATTTCTGTCCAGCTTGTTTCTAATGGGTTTCGCTGACTCCGAATACTGCCAAGTTGTATCTCCTCATTTCCACATCTGTTCGATTGATCTTCCCAGTCTCCCACATTGTCTTAACATTCCAGTTTAATCTTTGCTTTGGTTGCTAGAGGGGAAATCGGCCTTCTGACTTCCGAAGAATATCAGCTTTCACCACGAGGTGTCACAATTCTTCTGAAAGAAGATCCTTTAACTCACAGGGTAAAGTTCAGATGGTTTTTAGTAATTTTTCGGTTTAGTATTGATTTTAAATTAAACAAATCTATATCAAACAAAGTTTAATTAATTTTTTGTAATACTTTTGTATAAAAATATTTTATAGTCATTTAAATTCCTTAAGGAATCCTATAGATAATAAATAGTAACTAATCAAATTTCACTCGATTTTATTTTCTCATTATGCAACATTAATTACCGTACATTCTGAATAGAACCATTATAGTCTTATATATATTGATGCATAGTTTTATGGAAAATCTTTATGATAATATTGTTGTCTTGTTAAGTACATATTGATCGTTTCTGATGGAAATTAATATTGAAACACAATCAGAGACACTTGTAAATATATTCGTTTGACACTTTAAAGTACTTCATCAAATAACCTAAAAATTAGTGTTTATCAGTAAACTCAGTTTAATAAATCAATAGTCACCACAAACCCTTATACTAGAAATCAAACATATGGTCGGCAGTGATTCATTTTGAGCAGTAACCATGGAAATTTTAGTGCAAAGATATGATTAATGTAGTTCAATCATGTCAAGTATGAGACAGTTATTTCCTTATGAGATAGGAAGGTGATTACAAAATTCGACAAATTGATTACAAATCGAAATGTAAACCAATGGATTTTATTTTCAGTAATCTGAAAGATAAATGATCTCCATGAGGTATGAAGGTCTTGAGTTTGATCACAATGGTGTCGTTGATGAGTGTGATTAGGCAATTCCATGCTAGGACAAATCAGGTATCCACCGCTTTATGATTTTCATTGTAAGTTCAACTAAGGCCGTTCGGCGATATGAACTATAAGGACAATCAAATATCGTTGCAAATTTATGTTAGCAACCAACGTATTTGTTGAACAATAAATGACGAACGTTTCAAATTAATAAC